CAGATATCTGGAAAATTCTACTACCCAATGACGACGACAAATAAGAGAGGACAAAGAAAACTATAAAACTCAAGTTTCGAAATCGTGTGATTATAATCGATGAAATGATTAAGAACAGAAATAAATTTTGTTCGAAACTTTGTCATCCAGTAAGTAATACTATTACTGTTTCACTGACTGTGTAATGCATCTAATAAACAAACTAAAATGGAATTACTTACTACCACCAACACAGTGGCCAAGTTTTACATATATATAAACATGGTTTCCTCTTGGAATTGAGTCAATGATGAGTTTGGATGGATTATCTTACATGGTTTTGTCAATAAATCGATTTTTTTTACAGTAACTGTTTTCTGCAGACATTTGACTTTTAGGAGAGGAAGTTTCACATCAACGCTGGTCAGAAGTATACATATTACCTAACCTATGCAATATAATACAACGGATGAATGAAGTTTCCTCTTTTCTTTTGAGAATTTTTTAATAATCAAAATACTTTCACTCGAGTATGGGTGTGAAATGAGAATTTTTGATTGAAACATAATTGATCTGAGGGCGAATTTTTACCGTCTATCAGTTTTCAGAACTGAATTTTTGTACAGTTTATCGTGTGATCATTGTTCACTGCCTCAAATGCTTCTTTTCCTATCTGCATTTACCACGTGCTGACTCTCGAATTTAACGAAAAATATTGAAGTACCGGATAGCTGTTTCCCCCGTCCGACTAGTTTGGTACCGGTTATTCTGCAGTGTGCACCCACCCTACTGACAGAGTTCGAACCGAGGGCATTCTGGTTACAGGGCCAGTTCATTGAACTATTTAGCCATTGGGACCCAATCCAATGGTCTTTGAATTCTAACTTCTGTAAATTCACGACATAGCGTGACCATTTCGCAATGTCTTCCTCGACGAGTGATTTATTGCCTCATCTTCGTCTCATCAGGCAGGATCAGAAGCCTACATAGAAAACTATATGCTCTCACTATCAAGTACAAAAACAACTCAACCATACCCTACTTGGCTCGTGTTCTGTGTGATAAATGAGAAAGCATTAGGTGTGACACCTATAACTTATTAAATAGTCAGTAGAACAATTGGATCTGGTCTTTCCAACTCATATCATTTAAAGGTACAACGTCTCCTTTCTTTCTCTTCCTTTTCTCTCTCTTTTTTTGTTATGTGCTGTTTTGTTTCTCTCCTCCTTACAAACTCTACTTAAAACAGTCTTCTTCGTTCTTTCACACTGCGTATATCTCGACCATTTTGTTACCGCTTACGCCAGTAAATATGCTAGTAGTATCTACTTTTCTAACACCTTCAAACAACATTCTGTTCACTTTTGGCTTTGTTACCGACCGATATGCTAATAGGTTGTTGTCAAAAATAAACTCATATTACCTAAAATCTATGTAGAATTTTATTTATTGTCAATGTACAAATTGGATGCAATGGTGTAATGAAATGCTGAGAATTCCATTCTGTGTATCACAAGTACTCTTTTGGAATGAAACAAATAATTATTAGTTAGTAATATCATGCATCTACTGCCTTGTTTTGTCTCAGAAGGAGATGAACTGTTCCTTCAGTGAGGTTGCAGATACGTCTTGCTGACTGACTGACTGGCTGGTGAGTGCCAACTAGCAGCAAGAAACCCAGGTCTAGGCAAGGCTTCCACTGGCCAACCTGCCTCCAACCATCTTACATCAACAAGTCAAAGCTTAACTTGATTGCGAGTCACCTAGTAGCATGACGTAGTCACATTGAAAACCTGACTGATTGACAGCAGTCAGACTGCACCAACCAAAGGACTAGACACGTTGCACTAGTTACTGACTAGGACCAGCCAAAGATAACATCCTCACCGTAATGCTTTGACATGAAGTGAAATCGTTTGGGCCAAGTTAAACTTCAAATGCGTACCCGTTCAAACGAAGTTACAGTTGTAATTTGAGGAGGATATAATGTTTTCCAGTATTGCCTGGATTTAGATTGCTTCGAAAGGAGAGAACTTGTTCGTGTGATGGTGTCATGACTTTAAAAACGCTTTAGCAGGTCAAATGAGGCAAGTTAGTATTAGAGAAGGTAAGCTGATAATTCTAATATTTCGTAAGTACGTTTTTCACAAGTTCACATCTCTCCTTAACACAGATTTTGCATATTTGTAACTACTGGGTCTTACTTAAAAAAGCCGGCTGTAAGAGCCACAGCTACGGAAACTGAAGATAGCCCCGTCCAGACAGTTCAGTGTTATCAGCATTGCAGAAACATTGCATCGTGGAAAATGGAGAGGAGTACTTCTTTATCAGGTGGAGAAGACGGTGTTATGCACGTCGAGGAAACTGCGTTGGTGAAGAAGAAGAGAGACACAACCATGGTCGTCAGTGACCCATTAATATATGGGTAATTGGTTTATATGACACCTCCCTGCGAAAAAGATTCGCGGAGAGGATAACAGGTAGAAAAGCAACTACCATTATTCCTATTATTATCAGACTTGTGAAAAGGGATCCAATGTACATACGGATGAATGGAAAGGTTGTAGCCCTCTGTCATCTCTTGGATATATTCATCACACAATGAATCATTCTAGTGATTTTGTCGATCCCATTACGAGGACACATACAAATTCTTTGGAAGAATTTTGCGGGGGGAGATTAAAAAATAGGAGCATTAGGGCTATAAATGGATCTTAATAGGATCTCATTTATAGTCATTTGGATGAATATATATGTACAGAATGTGTGGTGTAACTTTTCTGTTGACAGTCCTATGTTTAACTAGAAGATGTTTCTCTCACATTTTAGAGAAATATTACCCCTCTGTTACAGTTCTATGCTTGCATTTATGCTCTTTTTTTCATAAATATCCATTTTCCTTAATCAAAAATCCCTCCTTCATGTGATTGGTCCGTTGAAGGTCGTTTGCTGATTGGCTGTTAGTGGTGCTCAAAAATTTAACCTTGCCGTCGTTTGAATATTCCCTTCATAAATGATGGAATTGTATCACCTGACTATCTTTGTTAAGAATTCCTAAATTCTAGTGTTAAATCATCACCATCAATAATAATAATAAGAGCTGACATTAGTTAGAGAACCATTGAAAACCAGCCACAGGGAGTACTGGACAGCTGTTTCGTCCTAGTTTGGGACTAATTCTTCAGCAGTACGCACCCACCGCCATCGTTCGAACCCAGGACCTTCCGGTTACAAGGCAAGCTGCTCGTATACTATTGAGCCACTGGGACCCGATCCCAGGTTTTCCAATGGTTCTCTAACTAATGTCAGCTCATGATGAAATCCTGGAACCAATCAAATCCCTACAAACCATCACTTGAATAATAATAATAATAATAATGGTGAGTAACGACATCACCTTATAGATAAGATTTTATTTTGATAAACTGTCACACAGTGTTGTACAGTAATATTAACTGATGACCACGTTTCGAGCACAAATTATTGCTCATAATGATATCACGTTACTCACACATGTTTTTTTCTTTTTTTCTTTCATGCATGTGTGGAATCAATAAGATATTGGAATAAAATTCAATATGAAATGATGTACATTCAGAAATAATAATAATTAATAATACGAGTGTCATTGATCAATTACAATTGGATGGATAAAAAGAGGGAATAAAATTCACAGTTGAATCGGAAAATAAACAAGGCGAATTAGCTGTGATTTTAGATTGTAAAATAAAACGAATAGAAAAAGGTAAAGTACAAACTAGCGTTTATGGAAAAAGAACGCATTCTGCTAATAGATATTTAGGCTTTAATTTATCTCGTACGTTAACTGTTAAGGCAGGCTCAGTTAAGTGTCTAACAATCCGAACGGTGGCACTAAGTAGTACAAGAAATGACCTAAATGATGAAATAAAACAGATAGAAGAGGCGTTGGCGTTAAATAACTAACTGTCCTATAAAATTCATTCGGAAGATCAGTAAAGGCCAAAAACTAAATAAAAAAAATAATTATGGAACTAGAAATGATAACATAAATATAAGAGAGAACATAAGCCATCCACTGTTATACCATATAAGGAGGGAGGGGACATCTGAGACACTCACTCCCTACGTAGGATTCTTAATAACAAAGCAGAAATTAGGCTGGTGGTGGCATTCAGACCTACAGACTCACTCAGGTAGGACAACCTCTGTAGGTTAAGGACCCTGTCGGTTGACCCAATTAACAAAATAATACCATTTACAAAATACCTTGCAATCACTGCGAGTTAGGTAAACTGCATAGGTGAAGCAAACTAGTAGATCGTGGGTAGTCAGATTGTCGGTACATAATAACTAAGCTAAGGTGAGAATAGTTGACCCCACCGGAGAAGATAAGTAATTTAGAAAAAAGTTCACCACTACATTGTACTGCATGCATGCATTAACACACAGGTACATAATAACAAGTTGGGAGAGGGTTAAAATTCTAAAAAGTAATATAAGTAGGTGGGAGTGAGAGAGGTTGATTACTGAATCCTACCCAGTTAATTGAGTCTACACCCAACACAACACATGCAACAGAAATGACTCAATGCAAATACCACAAATATGTATGGAAGATATTATTACCACCAGTCAGTCAGTCAGTCAGTCAGTCAGTGAAATCACAGGAGGATAATAAATAATCTCAAATTGTATTCTATTTCAATTCAATTCACTACATCATCATAACATTCTAACAAGTTACTCACTTATTTGACTATAAAACAAAAACACTCGTCTTATTTCCCATCTGATTATTGTAATTGATCACTCATAACACTCATATTATTATATTATTATTTCTGAATGTACATTATCCCATATTGGTTGATTTGTATTCAAATGTCTAATCATCAATTCCACTTATGTGTATATAAATGAAGGAAACAAGAAAGTTGTGTGAGTGAGTGGCCACCACAGTGCCTGCTAAAGTTTTATACTTATATCAGTAATGACAACAACAATAATAATAATAATAATGATAATAATGTTTAACTCACATATGAGAAAGACGATCAAAGCGCAGCCGAATGCAAGTATCGGTGTGGCAATTTCCCCGCTCATAGTTGTGATTAATTATTTTTTCTGGTTTTTGTTGTTTGTCCTGAACTTGGCCAATTATATCTCAGTAGCAGGGGTTTTTATTACTCGGATAAGTCAATAAATTATTCCACATGAGTTAGTTTATTCAACACAGTCTGTGTATCGTCGTCTTTCACCTCAAAGACTTTTCTCTCTCTCTCTCTGCTACAGAATGTCTATGTCTACACAAAATGAATTGTCACTAAAGGGTATTTAGTTGGTTTTGTGTTCTTGTTTTTCGCCTCTAACTCCTCTGTTACATACGATCGCCAAGTGGTGTTAGTAGTCACGTTTTGTTAGTAGATAACAGTGTGTGTGTTTGTGTGTGTGTGTGTGTGTGGGTGGGTGTTTGAGTAGGCCGCTAGTAATTTTCAATGGTCGGACTATTCGACTATCGGAGAGGCGTCGTATATTCAGTTAAATCAGAACCGTATCAACACATATGCATATATATATATATTTAATTGGTAAATCAGAATTGAGTAAAGACCCCAAGCAAATCCTGGTTCGACGTAAATTGTGCATTATATTATTACCATTACTACTATTATTATTACTACTATTATTGTTGAAGCATTGATACTCAAATGAAAAATGTCTGTGTAGTTTGATGAATGATTGATAGAAAGAAAACAGCACAAAAATGAAGTATGTATGTGTGCATTATACATACATATACATATTATACACGTAAGCAAGAATTGTAGTGAGCGATTGGCTGTGTGTGTGTGTGTGTGAATGTGATCGGGTGAAGGACAAACAACATTGTCAGTTAAACAATCCACCTTTCTCTTTCGTCAGATAATTTCATCAATAATTAAACAATCTTAAGAATGAAAGAAAATTGTATCTAGGCATGTATATGTATGCATATACATGTTGAAATTTGTTAATTGGAACATGTGGTATTCTTTTGTGATGAAACGATTACTACAAAAACGTTTTAACACACACACACATATCAGAATGATTCTGTTTAATCAAACCTTAGTTGTTAAAATAAATGGTCTCGTTTTATCAAGTTGGCGAATTGTACGGCTGATATACTCAGTCAGCTCTGCCAGAGAGCAAGTAAACTGGGATATATATATATACACGTTGAGGTGCCCCCTGGGCGGTAGCTTGTCTTTCGCGTTCTTTAGTCGTAGACTAACGGTGAAGTGTGTCTTCCTCAGAGATTTGCAGAGGCATTTACGACGGAATGTTCCACTTCCTTCCTCGACGTCCATCTGACAAGAAACACTGACAATAACTCTCTGAAAAGGTTCATATACACAAAAGCCTAAATGGAATGGACAATTCGTCAAGGCTTCAAAGCTTTATGCCCCAAAGCAAAAAGAGAAGCCTGATACAGCACTCTTTCCTCGAAGATTCGGAAAATATGCAGTGAGGAGGTAATTGATGAAAAACTGAGTAATCTTCGAAGAATCCTGATGGAAAACGGTTTTCCGCCTAGGTTCATAGACAGGAACCTCATATCAAAGAAGACTTCCGAACAAGTTTACTCTGTCCCGAAGAATATACTTCTACTTAATCTAGAATTCAAAGGTTACATTGAGGCAGAAATCCTTTGTAAACGCCTCTGCGAATCTCTGAGGAAGACATACTTCGCCGCGAGCCTACGACTAATGTTGTCTTGCAAGAAACTAACTGTTCAACCAGAACGCGAAAGACAAGCTGTCGCATTGGGCCACTTCAACGTGCATATATATCAGTTTATTTGCTCTCTGGGGGAACTGGTGAATACATCGGCTGTACCATGCGCCAACTTGAAAAACGCGCTCGTAAAATAAATGGTCAAAAAAAAGAAACTGAATGAAAGTTAATTTTAAGAATTTCAGCCCATCAGATTCAAAATTCTAGACATAATTAAGGTACTTAGAGAATTTAATTGGTGGATGGTGGTGACTAGCAGTGGAATCCAGTTCAGGATAACGCGCATTTCACCGGTCCTATCTGAAAATCGCCCACTAGTTGGATGCACCTGCATTCACTAGTGAGTCAATGATGATGTTTCCCACACCGAGTCTTTAACCCAGTGCCCACAGTTTCAAACACTAGCAGCCAAAGCGTTATCCAGTAGACCACTTAGGCGACAATAGCCACCCCACGTCTTGTGCAATGGGTCACATGACTTATCTAATTAAATTTCAGATTTTCCTGTCCATTGATTGATTGGACCGAAGTGCTTCATCTCAGGTTTTCACCATCCACCAATTAAATTCTAATTACATGCCAAGACATCCTTGAAGCATCTGCACAAGAAGCCAACAGACATGTCAATGTTTCCGTTGCTTATATTCGTTTCCATGGAGAAAATGTGATGTAATTTAACTAGAAAGCAATTTACTTAATTTTCATTCAGACATCTATAAAACACACAAAATATAATTGAGCCGGCAAAGAATGTCCCCTTTTCGACAAATTCCTCCGCCTCTTCTCCCTATACAATTATATCTATATATTCATGTTTATATACACAGAATATTCTAGATTAGTAGTAGTCAATAACAATATTAGTGTGCTTTTTAAATAATATCGATTTGTAAAGTGAGATCACAATGGAATCACCACCACAGATCATTAAACATGCTTAAATAACAATCAGAATAAAGATATAGTAGGAAATAGAATATCAACTAAAATTAGAAAAAATTCCACAAAAATTCAGGATCATTCAAACCTGGATGGATGGCCAAGCGGGTAAGGATGGATAATGTCTGAACTAGCCAACTTCTTTTGGATGCACAGATCAGGCTTGTTAATATGGATCCCAACGGCCAGTAGGCTAGTCTCAGAAATATTTACTAGTCGAACTAGTCTTAAGGCGAAATTGAAATTCTTTGGTTGGTATGCGGTAAATGACCCTGAAAGCCTCCGGCTGGTTAACATCAATGAGCCTTGTGTTGTGTATCCACAAGACGAGTGACGTAGAATAGCTCTGCGAAAGAAAAATACTCTAGTATTTCATTTCTAGACGTCCTTGTGACCAGAAAATAGGATGGTGCAATAAGAAGTGTATGTAGAAAACCTGGCTGTCAGTAGAGTCATTTTCTCAGTTTTGTGCTCTTGAAATAAAAACGCAATCTGATAAAGTGTTTGGTCCACTACAGAGCAATAGCTATTTGCTCGGATGAATGTCCTGATGAAGAAGTTAATAATAATAAACGGTTCGTTGCTGAGTGAAAATGGTTATACAGAAAAGTTTATTAATAAGAATATGAATCTGAAATCAAAGCAGCCCAAGATACCAACAGTTCCGAGGCAAAGAAAGGCCTTATTCTTACAAATGCAGTCAGTTCCTTGAAGATAACATCAGCGAGATACTAACAAAGTGCCTTAGAAATGAGCCGGTAGAAAGTGATATTTCATTGCTGCTGCTGAATTACACCGTGTATTCAAAATCCCTCCTCTCCCGCGTTCGTTCTGGAGTAAAAAACAAACTGACTAATTACACCTCTTCAATGTGTGTGTGTATCTACCAATCGAACTGCCCCTGTGGAGTGAGCCCCTTACTCGCATAGGCCGTCCAATTATGCATGTTTCTCGTCGAATTTCTGAACATCACCAAGCATGCACAGTGGTTGGCTAAGCAAAGGACAAACGAAATCTATTCTCAGAGCTAATCTACCTCACTCGTCTTGTGGATACACAACACAAGGCTCATTGATGTTAACCAGCCGGAGGCTTTCAGGGTCATTTACCGCATACCAACCAACGAATCTCAATTTCGCCTTAAGACTAGTTCGACTAATAAATATTTCTGAGACTAGCTACTGGCCGTTGGGATCCATATTAACAAGCCTGATCTGTGCATCCAAAAGAAGTTGGCTAGTTCAGACATTATCCATCCTTACCCGCTTGGCCATCCATCCAGGTTTGAATGATCCTGAATTTTTGTGGAATTTTTCTAATTTTAGTTGATATTCTATTTCCTACTATATCTTTATTCTGATTGTTATTTAAGCATGTTTAATGATCTGTGGTGGTGATTCCATTGTGATCTCACTTTACAAATCGATATTATTTAAAAAGCACACTAATATTGTTATTGACTACTACTAATCTAGAATATTCTATGTATATAAACATGCATATATGCATGTATAATTGCATAGCGAGAAGAGGAGGAGGAATTTATCGAAAAGGGGATATTCTTTGGTGGCTCAATTGTATTTTGTGTTTCATAAACTGATATCTCCATTTTTATCCTTTTACGTTACATTGGAACATAGGGCTTCAAGCTAGAGGCTTGACGTTTCGGTTGTTGTGGTGTTTATTGTAACGGAATACGATTGCCACCTTCATGTCCAAGCTTCCTTTTTACCAGTCTTATTACTATCTTAGCGAGCGTGGTAAAGGTGTACGTCATCTGGAGATCGGACACCAAACCACATGCGTGGTTAGGCCAGCATATTATGCGTAGTATATCCGATGAAATGCGCCTAGATATATCGACTTGAAACGTCTGAACTTCTACCGAGAAAGTGAGACAACATCACTTGTCTTAATTGAATTGAATTTTCAAACCCCTAATGTGCATGCAGCTTGTTTGTGTTCTGGTTCATGTCACAGAATTTGTTATTTCGACATCTGAATGTTTATTTTTCACGAAATAAGAATTAATAAAGTATGACCTATTTAACAGTGAGGAGGACTTTTTACGAGTTGATCACGGAGAATTATTGAAAACTCGTGAAAAATAACTAACCCTTACAAAGCAAACTATAGAAAATTATTCTGATGCTTGCAAGTGACCACTAGCTACAGGATGGAGTTTCTTGGAGTCAGTCATTCCTAGTGAGAAGTCGTGACCAGTGAGGTCCAATTAAATGTCACGTGTGTGGAATGATGTCCAACCAAAGACAACGGTGAGGTCATGCTAAATCATGAATTGGTAGAAGTTAGAAATAATGAGCCATTGAATCGCGTCCCAGTCAGTGGCTGAATGGCATACGAGCTTGCCTTGTAACCGAAAGGTC